GGAGTCGAAAAGGTTGTTTGGGCAGACGGCCTCTTCCATTTGGTGTTCTTTGGGGTTGAAACTCCCTCGTGATTTTTCTGCTCGTGACAACGCGGTGGATCTTCATGAGTGTGGCCTTAGCACACTCAACAAGACCGCCATTTATTTCTGCAAGGCGCGGTTTGCCTACGAAGCCCAGGAGCGTGCTTCCGCCCAGGTGCGTTGTGAAGCCGATGACTTGGCGAAGAAGGCCAAAGAGCGTCTGCACAAGATGCAGCAGGATTTGAATGCTGCCCTTGGGCTCGCTAAGGGAAGCACGTCTCTTCAGGAGACGGTGAGGAAACAAGCCGAGGAGCTGCAGCTGCTTCGTGCCAAAATGGCCGCCGTGGAGAAGTCCGGCGTGCAGCTTCGCCAGGTTGGTACGGATGGGGTCGTTCCTGTTTTGAGGCTGATGTTTCCAAGATCAAGGAGGCCGGCTCTATTGAGTTCCAGAAGTCCCGTGCCTATGTTGATGTCGTGAATGTCCGTGTGAATGAGCGTCTTGCCCATAGCTTCAGGGAGTTCCTGGCTAAGAGCTCTGATGCGTTGAAGGATGGCATTGAGCTGGTATCGGGGACCTCCGTTGGCCAGGAGTTCCTTAAAGAGCTTGCCGATGATGCCTTTGCTAAAGGAATGATCGGCCTTTTGGCCGGAAACCTCCCGGCTCTCCAGCGTTATCTTCCCACCCCATTTGATCCCGAGGCCGCCGGCTTCAATGCTTCATTTGTTGAAGTTTATGGGGAGGCTTTGAAGGGCAAGTGACAGGCGAAGGGCGGTCCCCCCTGGCTGAGTGAGTTTGTCAAATTCTGCTTGCCAGCCGCACCTCCTGGCTAGCAGGCCGTTCTTTCCGAAGCGGCTAATGTTTTTAAGATGGCTTACTTCACCACTCACGCCTCTGGGTTCATAAAAACTCTTGCAGGCACATCTATATTCAAGGATAGCTCCCTGAGGTGTGACGGCTTCGGTTATTTTGTACTCTTGATTTCACTCCAAACTCGTGTATGTTGTACCTTCCGACCGGTAGAGCCGATGAATAAAGTGTATTACTTGCTTTCCGCAATCGTCTTTAAACTTGTCGTCCATTTGTCTTTCCGCTTATTCTTTCCTTTTAGGGATTCCTAAGTGCCTCTCTCATTTTTTTGGAGAGGTCTTTGGTTTTTGCTCCGTCGTCCGTTCGTCTTACCTGCCCATTTGGCCTGGTCCTGTGGATCCTGAGCTGGGCTCGGCCGCGATTGTGATGCAGAGCGGGTTTATCCCCTTTGGGGATTCCCCGGTCTTCGTCCCGTCATCCGTTCGTCTTACCTGCCCATTTGGCCCGGTCCTTGGGGTCCTGAGCTGGGCTCGGCCGCGATTGTGATGCGGAATGGGTTTATCCCCTTTGGGGATTCCCCAGTGTCTCTCTCAATTTTTTTTGGAGAGGTCTTTGGCTTTGCTCCGTCGTCCGTTCGTCTTACCTGCCCATTTGGTCCGGTCCTGTGGATCCTGAGCTGGGCCTGTGTGTTCTCCGTGCGTCGATTCAGCTCATTTATCCGCCTCTGCATGTCCATGAGCATGGCATCTCGTGGATCGGTCCCAACGGGCGTGGGGGTTATCAATGCCACGGTGTCCCCCCTTGGTGCAATGCCATGATTATGCTGACCATGGTATACCCAGGCCTCCGCCGTCATGCCACCCACTACGGGGGTATGTTCCCTAGTCGTCCTTCCATCGCGGGGCATGACTGGCGTGGGGTCCTGGACCGTGTGGCGCTGCGTTCCCCTGAAGGGCCTGGCTCCCGCGGCGCCCCCCCATACCCAGAGAGCGGGTGTTCTGGGTTATCCTGGAATGGACCGAACGGCGGGGATTGCTATTTTCGCCGGTGTGCTCAGCGAAAGACTGCATGGGACGGATGGGCGAGAGCGGGGTGCGCTCGGTGTTGGCAGTGTACACATGCTCTTCTTCCCGCTGGTCCGCCAGTCGACGGAAGGTATCCGCGATATCTCGTAGTGCGTTGGGGTCCCTACGGAGTTCCTGGGGAATCAAGTCGGTGAGTATCCTGAAATCCCCTCGGCTCCATAGACTGGTGGATTGGGCCCCCGTTGCCTGGTTACGGCTCCTCCTACTATGAGCCAGTCGTGATGATAGGTCTTGAGAGTTACCCACGTTGTTAGTGTTCATTTGTTTGTCTTGCGGTTGTCTTAGATTTTTTAAATGGAGAGTCTGATTAGAAGAGCTTCTTGATTAGTTTCCCACAGACGGCGCCAGTGTTGAGGTTTATTCCCCTCAACCCACATGCCCAACACGCAACCTGGGGGTTTCGAATGGGTGGAAAGCAAAACAAGCTCACTAAACAACAGGGAGTGGGTTAATAACTGTATTTTATTCACTTTAACGATTACGAGCCAAAGGGCCGAATGTACTGAACTAAGATACGTGCAATTGATGCTATTACAATTCTAGAGTGACGAAGTGTCAACCCTTTTCAATGAAATAAATGCGACTATTTATAGTACCCCCTGGTGGTTGGGGGACAGACGTGGCCGGTTGTGGGCGACATGATCCCAACTACCAAATCTCCCGCATTAAATGCGCTTCCCGCCAAGATCTTGGTTTCCCGCCATAGCCTGGGGGACGTCCGTCCCCTAAACTGGACTCGACCCTCTGGTGGCAACCTGGGCCCTCAAGTATAGTCTACAAGACGCTCATCCCCTGGCCCTTGGGCCCTGAGGCTTGGTCCTCCGGAGGCTACGTACGTCCCCTGGCCCTTGGGCCCTGAGGCTTGGTCCTCCGGTTGGTACGTACGTCCCCTGGGACTTGGATCTTGAGGTCTGGCCATGCTGGGCTACGTACGTCCTCTGGCTCTTTTGGGCCCTGAGGCCTGGCCATGCTGGGCTACGTTCGTCCCCTGTTTCTTGGACTCTAGGGGTTGATGGGCTGGCCCTGGTAGGCCATTAACCCAACACCTGTATAATTTAGTTTCATATTACTAAAATTAAAAATGTATATTAGTTATTTATTACTAAAAAAGTAATACTATCCTCCGTTCCATAAAAGTTGCAACAGTTTGACTTTCACGTTTGCCAACGCGCAACTTTGACTGTAATTATATTTATTTACGTATTAGTAAACATTAAAAAAAGTTAATATATTGGAAATTTACATTAATACAAATTTATTAATATTTTATACATAATATTTTTATTATATTTATTATTAGAAAATCGTAGTCAAAGTAAGGTGTGTGAATAGTGCAAAAATTCCAATGTTGCAACTTTTATGGAACGGAGGAAGTATATAAAATTTTTAAAATGTATATGAACATTTTTAGATATTAAAACCACAAATCTCTTCATTTATTTATTAGTTATTTTATTATTGATAATTTTACTATAAAAAACATAACATCTGATGATATATGACCTATTTTTATTGTCAAAATATAATAAAATTATTGGTAATATATTTAAAATTCAATGGAACAAAACTAAAACAGAGAATTAAAGAGAGAATATATGGACACTCTAGTCAACGCCTAGGCGCCTGCCTAGGCAAGCTAGGTGCTAGGCGCTAGACGGCCACTTACTATCTAGCACCTTTTAGAACATTGCTACTAACTAATATCAATTAATGTAAATGAGTTTTAAGAATCAAATTTTTTCATTGGTAGCTGAAATGTTGGCGGTGATAGCTATGGGCATTATGAGTGATTGAATAGAATGGCTAATTATGATAGTGAGTCACTTTTATAGAAAAGCTAAAAAAGTCATGTTTTTGGAATGCAAACTGTTGTTTTTAATAATAATGATGAGAATAATATGGGAAGGAGCTAGTACTATACTGCTAAAAAGAGTCACTTTTTATTTTTCTCATATGTTTATCATTATTTCTAATAATAATGATGAGAATTGGTTTATTTAACCATCATTCCTTTATCTACAAAAGTCCAAATTACATTTATTAATATTTTACTAATACTACAGAATTAAATAAAATGGATAAATATATGGCATCTTTTAAGCTTTCTAAGTTGTTGGAAGGAAAGAGAGGTGAATGTGATGAAACTCTTCTTATTTAGGAGAATTAACTTTGGAAAAGGAAAGTCTTAGAAGAAAATATAATTAAAATTACTTCTGAGATAGAATTCAAATAGTTGAACTAATATTCATTTTGAATTTAACTTAAATTATCAAGTAGTTAATTGCACATCGAAACTCCCATTTTGGGGGAACTTAAAACTTGGGAATTTTAGGGGTTTTGGAGAGAAACAAAAACCTTCTAAAATCATTCATCCACATTTTTTAAACTTCCAAACATAAATATGAGGGCACAATCTGCTGCCCAAACTCGAAATATGATTAAATATGAGTACTAAAAGTCTAAGATAACTTATATTTAATTAGTAATTCTAGCCCATTTTCTCATGTTAATTTATGTGTCAATGTTTAATTATTGTGTTTGTAAAGTATATATAATTTCATAGTTTCTTCAATAAAAATTCCATTACATAATCTTTATGTGGCCCTTTAATATATTGACTTAGGCCCTAAAATTGCTAGGATCAACACCGCTCACCGGCAAGAGAAGAGTGAAGCAATGACATGAACAAGATTACTCAAATAAGCAAAAAAAGGTCATGAGTATGCGTTACTTTTAATAAAGGGATTTTTCTTCAAATATGACTAAATTGTAGTCAATTTTAAAAGATCACTGACAAATTCTCATGTCATTAACAAATGTCACTTCCAGATTTTCATATCATTTATTAATGTCACTATGACCTCATAATTTTATTCAGTGACTTTTCTGATTAATTTTGAATTAAAAATGAATGAAAAATATTCAAAATTTTCCTATGACTTTTCTGACGGCAATTTTCGGCAGCAGCTCTACAGGTTTTTGGGGGGGACAAAGATGGGATATAATTTACAATGAAAAAATTCGATTAATTAAACAAAAAAAATGAGTCATATTTTTGGAAAACGAAAAATTATCGCTTTTTGGTACGTATATCACAAAACTATAGGTAATATTGTGCTTCTTTATTCCCGTAAAAAATGAGTGTATTACTAATGTATTATTATTGATTATATTGAAGTTTTGCTAGTAACACAGAAATTATATATGCTTTAAGCTGCATAAACACGTCTTTCCTTACATACTACTTTCGTAGTTTCATTACAATCATCAGTATAGGCGGGTATCGTTTTTCATCAAACCATCATCATCAGATCAGCCTTAGAGTCAGGCTGCTGTCTATCCAACGGGAGCAGGTGAGTTTGATCTTCTCACTTTTCCCACACAGTTGTCTTTAGGCCTACAATGTGGTAAATACATCATTGGGCAGTCAGGATTATCCCTCTCCAGCCTGCAAATTGAAACAAACAACAAATATGCTCAGAGAAATGACAAGAGAAACCACCATGCAGAGAAGAACACCAAATGCCACTCACTCATAACCGAGCAGGAAATAGTGCAGAAAAATTGATATTTCGAGTTTGGCAAGATCGTTTCCAGGGCACAATCTGCTGCCCAATCCAAATGGTAAAAATGCTCCTGCCCTTGGTATTAGATTCTGCACCAATTTCAACATCAAGCCTTACACTTAGATTCAGCGTCAGAGCCAATTAAACTCAAACAATAAACATGGTTGACTTTTTAAGAAGGAACTTTAGCTTTAAAACATGGCATTTAGTTATTGTTTCCCAAAGAAAGAAACAAGGGAAAATGACCATAGAGTGAATTTATTAGACTCAATGTATTGTAAAGAGAAGTGAAAGCTGATCTTTGAACTCACATCCCATCTGGAAGGATTGAATTCCAACGGATCATCATATATATCTTGATCTAAGTGCACACCCCTAAACCACACCAAAACTTTCCATCCCTTTGGAATTGTGTAACCTGAGACATTCACATCCTTCTTCGCCTCTCGGAAGACAACAAGAGAGAATGTTACTATACGGAGTGTTTCGTCGATCACCTAGCCACATTTGGAATAACCATAGTTATGCAAACAAGCATTATGCACTTTCATAAGCCAAATAAGATATAACATTAGAAAGGGGGTTCACCTTAGACAGATATTCCATCTGCCGGATTTCTTTCAGTGTCAAACCCTTCTGATCAGGAGGCCTATTTCGTACAATTTCCTCTTGCTCTGCCTGTATCGTCATTGTCATCATAGCGGAGAATGTATATCAACATAAAATTCTCATGAGTAAATACAGTGTTCGGGGGCATTTAAACACCTCAACTATTTCCAGAGGTTCATGTAAATTCTAATTTGACAATGTTAAAATGCAAAAACTCTTATGTTTTACGGTTTCACGATGACACTTCCCTCAGTTCTGGACAGAAGCTGGGTTAGGTCAGATTTCTGTACTAACAGATAATCCCAATCCACCACAGTAGGAGCATTAGTCTTGGTTCAGCTAATCGGCCCGGTTCAAAAGGAACACACTTGAATGATATGTCAAAGAACATATATGATATATGCTCCTCAACTTCATTTTGGAAAAACTAAATACAAAAATCGTAATTTGAGACAAAGAAACCTTGAACTATATTTTAGATAACATATGTTTCTTATAACTTTACAATTTTTATTGTTAATTGTACCCAAAAAGAAGTTGAGGGAGGGTATATAGGTTCCCTGCCTTATATCTCAATGGTATATTTGTTGCTTACCCTTACCAGAAAATGATGGAAATTTTTGTTGTGCCATAATAAAAATAGTATTTGCATTTATAAGAAAATCTTACCGTAGTACTTGCATGCCTCTCTTGAAATAGTTTGAGGTGTCGAAATTCACTTAACCCATAAAATAAGGGTGATAACAAATTCCCCTGATTAAAAAAAACATAACCTTGGCTCTTTTGAAGAACTCAGGGTGTTTCTGCAGAAAGACAGTAGCCCACATTGTGATATGGCCAGAAGATTCATGACCAGCATTCAAGTACATAATCAGAACATCAATTATTTCCTCATCGTCCAACTCGTCACCATTCTCATCTTTAACTTCTAGCAGTCTATCCAGCATGTCTTTTTTCTCATTAGAACCATTCTTCCTTAACTTCATCTCTCGTCGTTCAAGCAATATGGACTGAAATTTTGCCACAAGCTTTTTCCGCGCCTGAGTCCAAAATCATGCCAAAGTTCCCAAAAATATATATGATTAACATCGACTAGTAATAGAATTAAGGATTAATGAGATTTGACTAACTAGCCGATTAAAAGATTGAATCCAATCAATTAGCTAGTGAAACTTAAGCTCTCATTAACCCATAATTCTTCTTCTTTTCTTTTTCATTCCTGATGTGGGATTCTAACAACTACAAAGTGATGAATAAACCATTACCTTAAGTGCACTATGGTAAGCAAAGCCCGGAATGTTAATTGACATCGCTCTAACTCCATAGTTCAGATTTGTGTATTCCCTCTCCAAGGCCTCCATTACATCCTCACTCTCCGAGCTCAAGAAAATATACATGATTATCCTGAATGTGAGCTTCCGAAGCTCGGTCAGGAACTCTATTTTTCCCATCGAATCCCATTTCTCCAGAGCAATCTTCACCTTCTCCTCAATGAAGTCAATGTACAATGACAAAGCCTCATGCCCATTTACCGGGGCTGCTGTCAACTTACGCAAGCGCTTGTGTTCTTCATAGGAAATGCTGACAAAAGACTTTTTTCCTATGAGTTGCGCAGTGGAAGCTGGCCAGCCAGGCTGGAAAGCTTCATCATCTGATAGTACCCTCCGGCAGCCTTCTGGTGTTGTAACTATGATACTTGGGCTTCCAAACATGAACGCCTTGTACATCCCAGTGCGTCCATATCTGCAAAATTCCATACATCACTTTTATGCCATACCATGATACCAAAAGGTAATATGCCTATCTATGAATCACGGGAAAAAGGTTATACTGTCTACTGAAGGTAATAATACTTGGGCTGCAAAACTTGAAAGAATCATGAAAATTTCTACGGCTCACATTTTACACTTTTACCGCTTTGGAATCACAGAAGCTGTTAGCTGTCCTAAGAACTCAAAACTTTTAATTCCTCTTTCCGGACTGTTAACGTAACTAAGACGAAGTAGAACTGTAGATATCTCATTTTCCTAATTATTTGGCATTTGGAAACTTTTGGCCTTCGATTTTTTCTTGTTTCATGGGATTTTTGAAATAGAAATTAGTGTTTATGTATGAAAAACTTTAGTTGGGTCTTTATGGGTAGGGTAAGACACACACACAAAACAAGACAAAGGTAGTGGGACCCAAAGAGTATTTTTTACAAAGTTACCTTTCTGCGAATTTATAGTGACCAGTGACCACAATGGCACAATGTAAGTAAGGGTATAACTGTACTAGCCAGTGACAAGCGATGCTATTACCCCCTGGTTTCTTGATCCCCTTTTAACTTTTGAGTAAAACGTGTCACAATATGGAGTAAATGATATGAGTAGGCCTATTCTAGAATAGATGGAGTAATATACCTATAAATGCCTTTTGGATTTTAATGATATTCGAGATACATGACAAATAAAATAAGGGTGATAAAGAACATGAGTTTTGATAGGTGTACACTTTTTGTGCACGCAAAGCATTTTTCAAAGAACATAGTGACAAGAAATGCTATTAGACCATTTGTACCGGTGGAGAGCCCGAAATGTCAAAAAATGGACTCCGTCCATATGAAAACAGTGTTTAGACTCATATTTCTATGCATTTCAGCATTGTCAATAAAATACACTCGGCATATTTTTTACATATCAATTTAGTAAAACATTAATTAAATTATTATAAGTAATGTTTTTCTTTTAATTTTTTCCCTGAATAATTATAAAATAAAAATACACATTTCGATGTAAAAATAAATAAATTCCATTAATTTTTTTAACATTTTTCGGTTAACAAAAAATGAATTTAGTTCAAGTAAAGTTTGATTATGAAATATTAAGTTATTTGTGAAGGCTACATGAATTAAAAATCTGTGTTTCGTATTTTTTGGGGCTCAAGAAAACTTCAACAATTAAAACTTCAGATTTTTTTTTTCATTTTATATATTACATATTGATGTCATGTGAAAGAGTATAAAAAGTTATCAATTTTGATATATTTTTCCTAAAATTGATTTATAAAAAAACAAATTTTAACAATTTTAAGAAAGATGGGTTTTATTTTCTGGGGCCCACCTACTACCCATCACTCCCATGAGAGTCCATCCGTCCGCTAGAATTGGACTCCTCCCTCCCTATCTCCATTTTTAGCCTCCAAAATGCTCTCCAATGTATGAATTGGGAGTCTAAAATCTCCATTTTTTACATTTTAGACTCCTAGATCTTACCCCCTAGTTTCTTGATCCCATTTTAACTTTTGAGTAAAACGTGTCACAATATGGAGTAAATGATATGGAGTAGGCCTATTCTAGAAAAGATGGAGTAATATACCTATAAATGCCTTTTGGACTTTAATGACATTTGAGGTTCATGACAAATAAAATAATAAGGGTGATAAAGAACATAGGTTACTTTTATGTTTGCCACTCCGAGCTAAAAGTTGAAACTGAAATATCAAAGGGTTATAGAAAGTATCAACGAGAAATTAGAGATGAATAAGAAATACTACGTATTCATTTTCATAAATATTTGCTCCACTTTCCTTTAATGTAAGTTTATCGTAGAGCTCAAAAACAAATACTCGTAACTATCACTCCATCCATCTCAAAAAGAAATTAATATCACTCCATCCATCTCAAAAAGAAATTAATATCATTGTATTTTCTTTCCAATTCTTTTTTTCCATGTTCTCTTTCTTACTTGTTCACTTTTCCTTTATTATTGACTATCTATGCAAAAACGTACTTCTACTTTCTGCGAAAAAACTAGTAAAACAGGTATAGTTAACAAGAGGGAGTATTACTTTACTAATGTAAATTGTCATTGACAACACAATTTTAAGTTACAGTTAGTTAAATACTTCTATATATACTAAACCAACAAAGGAAAAAGCTAACAGTAATTACTAATTAGACACTAACTAAAATAGGAAAACCTATTACTCTGGGAAGTCACATTATGCAATCAGCATGATCTTATCTTTTCTAAAGGTTGAGAGATGTAGTGTTGAATGTTTCACTTAATTGGTTCCTTTAATCACTCAAACCACAATCGTTAGATATTCTTTAAATTCCAGAATAAAAAACTTCTCCCACCAGAATATTTAATCCCATAAAAACAACTTAACCCAATATATCCAGCTCTGAAGTAGGATGGACGAGATATACTCAGACCTTACCTCTATCAACCCAAAATATAGAGAGGCATTGTTATTTTACTTCTTCTTTTATACTTAATATTTAGGTCCATAAGAATTAATATTTAGTTTATAATTAAAGGCAAAAAGCAGCGTCATCTATCATTATTTTGAATGCCGTTAGTTTCAATAAATACTGATCTCATTAAAACAATTACTTTCTGTGTGAGATGGTGATAAAGACAAAGGATGGCCTACTCATTTCTCGGACAAAGTAAGAGAAAATTCCGTTCTCTTCCATACTCACAAGAGTACAAGAAAGGGAATCGTAACTTTATAGTGTGTAAAATCATCTGTGGCCACACAGTCTTATCTTGTCTAGATCTAAAAAGCCAGTCTAACTTCTTAATTAATTGGTGAGGTTCTATGAGTTATCCCATGGATTTCAATTGGTTCAATATAATGTTTTAGGGATTGAATAAGTGGTCTTTAATTTTTAGAAGTTCTTTTTTGTTTTTTTTTTGTACAGTATACTATTTGTAAGGTGCACGGTAGCTTTTTTTAAGGTAACCATTTTAATAAAGGGAGGTGAGAAAAGTTGTTTGGAGCATTCCTGAAAGGGAAAGGAAAGTGTGACAAATAACAAGAATGCATTCAAAAGTAATATAGTGGGTAAATGAAATGTATAAAGAACAAGATGAAAAGTTGGCAAAGAAAATGAAACAAAGCCATTGTTATATAGCAAACAATATTAATTTATATCGTGCAGGCAGAGTGGAGCAGATATTCATTAATCCTTCAAGTGAATGCATAGATGATGTTTGTGTGTGAGGGGAAGAGGGATGGAGAGGACCTGGAAACAAAGGAGGAGATGAAGGAATCTGGGTTGGGGGACTTGAAAGCAGTGAGGAAAGACCACATGTTGCCAATGAAAGGCCAACCCAGATCACCAGGAGGCAAAGAACACCTCTGCTCACCAAGCTTCACTCTCTCATAGTACCAACCATTCACCCTTCTGAGAACCCACCACAAACTTAAACCCACAACCCCAAGCACTACTGCAACCCACCCCAACTCCATTTCCTGATATACAAATTAAAGATCCAGAATTTGCTTTTTATTCAGAAAACCCGGAAAGATGCACCCCCTCTCTCATAAAATGGTCTCTTTCCCCAGTCCTATATCCAGGCTCTGGAGAGAGGATAGTTCAGCACAGGTGAAGACGAGAAGGTGCTGCTGCGATTCATGTCACATTTTGTCCCAATTTATAGGTAGTGGGAACAATGTAGGGTGTTACTGACATTTAATACTGAACAAATATTTCATCCTCCTCAATCAATTTTTTGTTATTTATTCTTATTCTTATTTAGGAAGTATATTTATTACGGGAAAGTACGGAAAATCTACTTGTGATTGAACCCGTTTTCAGATAGGATCATGTGTTTCATTCTTTATCAAAGTGGTTCATGTGTTTGAATTATGTTATCACAAGAGGGTCACGCCGTTAAAAATGTCTGAAAACGACCGTTAAAAAAACTCTGATTTTCAGAAGTGCCCGAAAAATTAAAAGAAAAATACCGGAAGGTGCGCCTCAATAAGAAGACCGCTAGGCCATCTTTCTTTTTTGTTTTCATCCATCCTTGTCACCGGAAAGTCCATCGGAAAAGTTATATTAGCGAAATCATTTTTAAAAAATAATTCAAACAGATCTGAAAAATCCAAAGTCGAAGGTGGTTTGGAGGTCATCTTGACGAGGCGCACCTTTCGGCAATTTTGTTTTAATTTTTCAGAAACTTTTGAAAATCGGAGTTACTTTTAACGGTCTTTTTCAGACGCTTTTAACGGTGTGACCCTCTTATGATAACAGAATTCAAACACATGAACCACTTTGATAAAGAATAAATCACGTTACCCTATCTTAAAATGGGCTCAACCACAAATACCTTTTCCGTACTTTTCCCTATTTATTATTTATTCCGTTTCGTTTCTTTGTAGTGTTTCTTCCTTTTTTTGTTCCAAAAACTTTGTCACTTTCCCTTTTAGTCAATCAATTTATGATTCCTGTTATTTTCTCTCTCCTCTGTACAAATCTCTACCATATACTCCATAGTTTTTACTTTATTATTTTACGTGCCGAACAAACTTGGCAATCCTTTTAGGGACGGAGAGATATTTCTTTTTTTATTTGTTATGTTCACATTCGTACTTTTCTTATATGTTCGTTCCTTTTCACATGTTTATATGTATTCTATTAACGCCGTAAATAAGAGAAAGCGAAAACGGTCAAATAAGCTCCTTTGCAGTTACGAAAAAGTCAATTAAGACCTCAAACTCATTTGTCATCCAATTTTGAACCTCTGTAAATTTTCTCCCGGTTCCCGGGTAAACTGCACATGTGGCATGTGACGTGGCATTGCCATAATTTTTTTCCCTTTATCTCTTGATCCGTTTTTCTTCCTCGTTTCTTTTCGTTTCAAACTTTACTAGTATAGTATTCGTGCATACGCACGGGAAAGAGTAGCGGGTGCATATATATTTACTAATGATATGAACAAATATTAAAATAAAATAACTTTTGAGAAAAGTTACTAAGAAATATTTGCATGAATAATAGAGGATATAGTACCTAAAAGCGCTACATATGAGATAGAAAAGTGTCACTCTCACTTATTAGTTCGCTTAACTTATACGTAAAAGCATTATATATGAGATAAAGTTCCTCTGCACAACCAAGGGCGGACCGTAGTACAGACCCAGGGGGGTTACCCCCCCCCCCCCCCAACAAGATATTTTTTAGTGTATATATATATGAAACACAATTTTCTCCCTCCGAAAAAATATTTTGAACCCCCAAAAAATATGACATGAATCGCAGCAGCACCTTCTCGTATTAGTCCACTTATCTTCTTATGCGTAAAAGCATTACGTATATATGGGAGAGAAAATTATCTCGCTCAGTTATTAGTTCGTTCATCTTATACCTAAAAGTTCAACATATGAGAGAAACTCTTCTAGCTCAATTATTAGTTCATTTATCTTCTTTTAACTAAGAGTACTACATACAAGAGAAATTTCTCTCGTTCATTTATTAGTCTGCTTATCTTATACCTAAAAACACTACTTATGAGACAAAGTATTTTCTCTCACTTATTAATACACTTATCTTATCTTATATACCTAAAAGCACTACATATGAGAGAGGAAATTCTCCCGCTCAGTTGTTAGTATGTTTATCTTATCTTATCTTTACTTATCTTATCTTATCTTATATTACATAAAATCACAACGTATCAAAAAAAAAACGTCCCGCTCAATTAGTAGACCGCTAATCTTCTTATACCTAAAAGCACTACATATGAGAGAGGAAATTCTCCCGCTCAGTTGTTAGTATGCTTATCTTATCTTATCTTATCATATCTTATATTATCTTATCTTATCTTATATTACCTAAAAGCACAACGTATCAAAAAAAACATCCCGCTCAATTAGTAGACCGCTAATCTTATACCTAAAAGTACAACATATAAGAGCAAACCCTTATCGCTCAATTATTAGTTCGTCTATCTTCTTATAACTATAAGAGTACCACATATGAGAGAGAAACGTCTTTCATTCATCTTATAAGATTTTACTTTGACCGGAGAGTAGTGGACAAAAACATTTATCTGTGACGGAAGTATTATTACGTAAGAAGGATTAACTGTTTAAGAAATTTTAGAGCCCGTTTAGTAACACTGAAATCGGCTGATTCTGCTAAAATTTACGAAGTTCTGGCTGAAATGGCTGCATTAGCTCATTCTACTTATTTATGAAAAAATTATATTTAAAATATATTTTATTAATTAAGTAAAGAAAAAATTATATGAAAAAATAGTTAAAATGGGCATCTACAGTAACTTCAGCCAATACAGTCAGAAAACTAACTTCAACCTTACTTTTTCTTATTATTACACAATTCAACGCGCAAAATCAAAAGTTACGTGTTTGATTAAAAAGTTGATTGATAAACCTGATAAGCCGAAAAACAGAGATGTCAAACTGGATCTGAATAACTAGGAAATAGTGTGATATATCATATATCCATATATTACTGGGTATAATTTTTTTGATCACATGTTTTCGTTTTGGTTTCTGGTTTCACTCCCAACAAAATTTTATGGAACCATATGTGACTCTTTTATGTAGTCACATAAGGTATGTTGGCATCATCTTCACCACATTCATTTTAGGGTGTTTTTTTAACTGTTTTCAGTCTTAGATCAGATCAGATCAGACTTTTATAGTTATAAAATACACAAAAACCAGATATTACTAGATCAGACCAACAAATTTCAATCCAAAATAAAACATTCTTAGTGGAGGTCTTCACTAAATGATGTGTGGTGGAGATGATGTCAAGATACCCTATGTGACTCCATAAGAGCATCTCGGATGCAAGGGTGTGGTCTCTCTTACACATCCTTATACATGGCTCCCATTTTTTATTTTTAGGAAATTGATGTAACGTACCTCGAAAGTACAGCAGTGGACGTTTAAAATTTTCCCAAACAGATCTTCCCTATTATGACAAAATAACGAAAATAACAATGATAATAGATCTGAGTTAGAACTTACAGATCTTCCAACCTAGCGGTGATAATCCTTAACCTTAGGTATCCACGTGATTTCTCCTTTCCGAAAGAACGGTTAGATCTCCCTAAGAAAAAGGCTATGAAATCTCTTCGCAGGGAAATAAACTGGTAATACTGAATCTGAAAACTGGTCTGTCAATTATGAAGGAGGAGAATATATTTATACTAGTTTTAAACTAGTTTCCCAATCACAATGAAAGGCTTTCTAATTAATGAGTTCTAATCCCGCTAGGACCAATACTCCTAATTAATTAAATAAGTAGATAAAACAAAGCAAAATAATAATAACAATTAAGATGTGGCTGCACGCCACTTTCTAATTATTATATATTAATATTTATTTTATTTACTTTTCTTTTAATTCCAAATTACAAAAGAAAATATCTACTTTATTTAATAATAAATACATCTTATTTAAGTATGATAAATCTAATTTATCTTACTTAATTAATTATATCAAATAGAACTCTCCTTCAACTTCATGAATTAAATATGTTTAATCTAATTAATATTTAATTCATTTTTAGTATTACGAATTAAATATTATTTAATTCAATTAATAATATTTAATTGCTTCTAATGTTTAATCAATTAACAATATCTAATGTTTAATCAATTAATAATATTTAATTCCTTCTAACAATTCAATCGGAAGGTATAATCACTTATTGTGTGACTCATATGGTCTTATATATTAAGCACTGATCAAATTAAGGTTGATGGATAGTGTACCCGGGGGGTAGCTTATCCGAGGGGTTATTACGGGGAATAACAAGAGAGAAGTCAGAGCAAGTAAATATAGAGAGAGAAAGTATATTGTAAAGTGTGGAGCGTTTTCAGCGTGGTTACAAATGGTGAAATGGGGAGCTATTTATAGTAGCAATAAATGCCGGACAGGGACATGTGTCAAGCGTCCATTGGCCGAGAGGTCACCTCAAGAGGTTGGCGTTGGCAACCGCATGTGGCCGCATTTAATGCGGCTGTTGGATGGGACGTTGTACAGGGTACGGTGATCTGTACGCATGTGGCACGGATACCATGTCGGGAAAGGTGCCCTCAGTTGTAGAGGACTAGCCGAGGGCTCTGAGTACCAGGGACCCCTTGGGTGCCGAGGGCTACTGATTTTCGCCGTTTTCCCAGTAACTTTGTTTTGCTGTGTTGGCCCTCCTGTGAGAGTTAGAGCCTTCGGCCAGGGGGGCGAAGGCACCCCTGGTGCACATTGTGGGCTACTTGGTACTCTGGGCGCCGTGATTTGGGCCTTTTGGGCCTTCTGGGCCTGTTGGGCCTTTATTGGAGTAGTAGGAGTCTGTGGGCCGGGGGTTCCCGGGCCATATACTCCATCAAGAGTCCCTCACTCCTTTTGCCGAAAGGTACTTGAGGGAAAAGGAGTAATTGTGTTTGTCCTCTGCCGTTGTTCCGTTTGTAGTTTGTAGAGTTGTGGGTAGTTTGCTGTTTGTTTATTCTGCCGAGGGCAGTCCCTCAGTTACCCACATGTCGGGACTTGAGGGGTCATGTTTGTGATTTTTGTGATTTTTCCCAAGCGGGTCCTCTAGTCCCCCACTCCTTGAGGCACTTGCAAAGTGGTGAAAAGGAGTAGAGTAGTTGCGTTGTTGTTTTGGGCCGAATGCTGACGCTTTTCGTTTCATTTTGGGGGGATGCCTCGTTAAAAAACCTCATTAGGAAAAACCCTGTG